TGGTTTTTAACCTTTTTAAGCACGAAGAACTTCTTTCTACGGAAACGCTTGTCGATGGAATTGTCAGAATTAAACAAAACACATTATAGGCTTCTGCAACAATTTCTTTAATTGGTTGTAACTTTATAACCAATTCTTGCAAATTCACATTTTTGTAAGTTTCGTCGGCATAAAGAAGGCAGAGCTCACTTTTAAGTCTTTGATGTTTAGTAAATTGTGTGCCATAAAACTCAAATAAATTTTGAAAAGCGTCGGAAGGGAAGGTGACTCAAATTTTGTTATATCTACTAAGCTTACAAATTTTAATTTATTACAATCCTGAAAACGTATATCCATGATCATATATTTCAAAAAATAATGGTCTTTGTTGAGTAGTAATTGCATTCTTGCTCATACCATCATCACACTTAAACCGTTTGGAAGTATTAATGACAGTCATTGTGCTTGCTTTTTCAAAAATAGAATTAAAAAATTCTCCATTTCTTTTGTCACTTATTAATTGACGAGTTCTCCTTATGTGGTTTAAACAAAAATTAATATCTAGGGACTTTTTTTGAAGAACATCATATAAAATATCTGTTATATGGAGAATGTCGCTAAAAACTGTTGCTAAAAATGTGAACTCAAAATCATTTAAATCTCTTAAAAACCCTTTAGCCAGCTGAACTGATTTGCGGTCTGATTCTTCAGAATTCATTATATTATCAAAACCTACTTTTAATTTTTCCCAGTCTTCAATAATTACACTGATTAATTTTAAATTAGACGACCATCTTGTCTCTATAATTGTTGGTATACGTCTAGACGATGTAGATGCAAGAGTGTATGATCGTTTTGCTGAACTATGAAAAAACGATGGGATTCCGGTAATAGTTGCAAAAAAATTAGACATTTTGATATTATCTTAAAGCTCTGTTGCAAAACAAGATTAAGTGCACTAAACAAATAAACTTAATACTGTGACTAATCTAAACTAATAAATACACTACATAAACTATACTATATAAAAAATATCTATATAATAGACTAAATTTCAAAATATTGTCGCTAAGGGAGATTTCCGAAAAGTAGGAATACTACATACACATTAAACTAGTGGGTGAAGACGGATAGTTTATTCATCAATTGATCTGTACTTCCAGTTTTCTCAGCTATCACTAACGACAGGCCGACGTCATGTTGCCATGGCAACCGTGAACGCTTGGGCAGATGGATTCTGCATTTCAAAAATAATATTCACCTATTCCTGAATCGTACACTGCTAGTGACATAGGTCAGGAGTTCAGGTATCTACCGCTAATAAAGCAAGTTATCTCAATTTTTAGATTATAATTAAAAGAAAATAAATAATTTATTGCAGAATTTAGATATAATAATGTTGCTTTTATTTTTTATTTATTTGTCTCAATTTAATTATATTTTGGTGAATCTCACCTTTACCTACTTCACCTGGCCGGCCGCCGCTGAATAGTTCCCAGTACACACTGCAGCATAACCTCAAACAGCAATAATATCAGGTGGAGTAGATAAGATGCAGGTTTGCCAACTTGCTACTTAGTGCAGGAAAGTACCTCAGTCATTGACTTGGGTACTTTTCTGTAGTTAATAAACGATGTGGCTACCATCATAGTGAATGAATGCATTCTTAACATAAAACCATAAAAAAACTTTCAGGTCCCTTTCTGAAATAAGCTGTTCATGTACCGGGTGGTCCAATAAGCCGATCTCTCGGCTATATATCAGAAACTATTCATGTTATAACTTTAGGAGAAAAAATTTCTTAGTAAAAGTGGCCAAGAGAATTCGCTGGAAATAACTTTCAAGTTTCTGGGTTAACCGCTAGGGGAGTAACCTGTGAAGAAAACTTTGAAAACCAGTTTTTTTAGAAATAAGCCCAATTATACCAAGTGTTAAATAGGTAAACTAGAAAGAGGCTTTAATTCTTCACAAAGTTGTTCAAGTACTTTTTTTTATTTTTTCAAATAAAGGGTGGGGGAGAGTGGGGAAGTATTTGTGGATAAATACCTATAACTTTGGATTGAATTAACCGATTTTAACGAAATTAGTGTCATTAGAAAGAGTGTGGATGAATTAATTTACATCTACTACAAAATAATTGCATTTAGTTTTAATTGTCATAGGTAGAGGGTACTTTCGAATAGAAAAAATTAAAATTTGTTTTTCTTCAAAATGTTTAATGGAAACACCTATTTATTGTAAACTATAATAAACTGGATTAAATTTGTAACAAAATCGCGCAAACCGCATGTTAATAGCTTTTGTCGAACTCGAGATATGAATAAAAACGCATAAACACAAGTAAGTATAGTATTGACTCACCCTGTATTATAAATTAAATTAAAAATAAGTCAGTACGTACTTTCAATTTTTTTATAGCAAAAGAATCTTAATGTTGATACCTATTTTGAATATTTTTATTTTATATGATTAAAAATAGTTTTTTCGAAAGTGTTATAATCCGAATTGAAGATTGCACTTTTTTCAATAGATATTAATATTGGTAATATTAGTAATTAATTATGAGTACTAATAATCCGTGATGAGTATATCAAATGCAGAATTGTGCGATATGATTGGAGTTTATTTCGAATGTCACCAAAATGCCGCTATTGCCTCACGTATATATTCTGTAAGATATCCTGACAGGAGACATTATGGCAAAGAAGTATTTGAAAGAAATGTAAGAAGATTAAGAGAAACTGGTAGTTTTCATCGTCCTTGTTTTAAACGATGTAGTAGAGGTATGACCGAAGATAATTCAATCAATGTTCTTGCTTTAATTCAACAGAATCCACATAGTCGGCAAATCTCTATAGAATTAAACATACCCAAAACTACTGTTCTAAGGATTTTAAAACATCACAGGTTGGTTTTTCATATTATAAAGTGAACGTTTAGGCCAGAAACTTGGAATTCCTTTAAACTTTAGATTCAACTGTTATTTTAATATTTCGATAAAAACGGCAACACGGCGCTTTTATCCTTTTATCCGTTTCTTAAAAATACTTATGCACGATTTATCTTGTGAAACAATTGTAGATTTTTCAAGATTTTTGAGTTTTAGTAAATATAGTGGTTTCTTTTTCACCAATATTTGTTGTTCTGTTTTTTAGACTGCATCCTTATCATGTAGTTCTCCACCAAGCTTTACATGAGAGAGATTTTGATGCAAGGCTGGATTACTGCAATTGGATGTTAGGTCTGCTAGAAGAACAATCGCGTATCATGTCAAAGATTTTGTGAACAGACGAGGCTACGTTTAATAGTGCGGGTGGTGTTAATCTGCATAATATGCATTATTGGGCTAAAGAAAATCTGCATTGGATACATGAGGTGCAGGTTCAAGATAGATGGAGTCTTAATGTTTGGTGTGGTATAGTTGATGGAAAGATCGTAGGTCCATATTTCTTTGATATAACTTTAAATGGCTAAAAATATTTGGATTTTCTGGAAAATCAGTTGCCTGTTTTATTGGAAGATATTTCCTTACAAACAAGAAGAGATATGATATTACAACATGACGGGTGTCCTGCGCACTTTTCCAGACGAGTTCGAGATTATTTGTATGCAAGTTATCCAAATAAATGGATTGGAAGGGAATCTCCAGACTTAACATATCTGGACTTTTATCTGTGGGGAAGATTGAAGGACTTAGTGTACCAAACTTGACCAACCACGCGAGTCGAGATGAAACAGCGCATTATAAACGCAATAAATAGTATATCAACAGCTGAGATTGAAGCAGCTGTTATCTCTACGCGCGAAAGATTACATCTTTGTGTGGACAATGATGGAAAACAATTTGAACATTTAATTGGACATTAAGTTTTAATGATCGAGATGTTTGTATGATCTTTCACATATTTAATTTTAAGTTATAATAAAGGGTGAGTCAATACTATACTTATTTATGTTTATGCGTTTTTATTCATATCTCGAGTTCTACAAAAGCTATTAACATACGGTTTGCGCCGTTTTGTTACGACTTTAATCCAGTTCTATTATAATTTACAATAAATAGGTGTTTCCATTAAACATTTTGAAGAAAAATAAATTTTAAATTTTTCTATTCAAAAGTACCCTCTACCCATGACAATTAAAACTAAATTTAATTGTTTTATGTTAGATATAAATTAAACCATCCATACTCTTTCTAATGACACTAATTTCGTTAAAATCGGTTGATCCAAACCAAAATTATAGGTATTTATCCACAAATACTTTCCCACTCTCCCCCACCCTTTATTTAAAAAATAAAAAAAAGTACTTGAACAACTTTGTGAAGAATTAAGGCCTCTTTCTAGTTTACTTATTTAACACTTGGTATAATTGGGCATATTTCACAAAAAACTGGTTTTCAAATTTTTATTCACAGGTTACGCCCCTAGCGGTTAACCCAGAAACTTGAAAGTTATTTCCAGCGATTTCTTCTTGACCACTTTTACTAAGGAATTTTTTCTCCTAAAGTTATAACATGAATAGTTTCTGATATATAGCCGAGAGATCCGCTTATTGGACCACCCGGTACAATACATGACGGAATATGGAACCAGCTGACATACTTGAATTTAAAAGTATGTAAAAAATTAATCATAAAAAATTAATTATTGAAAAAGCCCTGTCTCCCCTACTTAATTGGTGGGTTGTTAAAATATATTCGGTCATTTTTATCGTATATTTCAAATTATCTTTAATAATCTTTATTTGGCTAATAGACAGTACACTCATTTATGATCAGTAAGTAATTAACTTTTTAGAATAGCAGTAATTGTCGCGCCAAATAACTGACACTTAAAAAAAAAAAACAAAAAAAGTGAGTCATTCTTAGCCAAATCATAAAGCATATCCAAAATATCAGTGTTGACGATTTAGAAATTTTATCCAACACCGTACAAACACCAGATGTTCATTTTAACGCGCATTCATTCAAATACAATTCTTATAAAAATCATTAATAATTTATTAATATCAAATATTATCACAGAACAATTCTTATCACAGTTACGTGCACCAAACATTGCAACAATATATTTAATTACAGCTAATTATATCCCAGAGGCTCGCAAGTACATGTCGTGTGGTTCTGGAGCTCGAACGTTTTGTATATGGTTTGATTAATTTTGATTATGAAGACTAATTTGACGGTTTCTTGGTGGTATGGGCGGCATCGTTCGTTGTAGTTCGAACAAGAGCCAGTGCCTTCGCATCTATGGAGAATCGTGGCGTAGGGTCTCATCTAAAACAAAAAATTATGAAAAATTATGTGGTGTTTCGATAAAATTATAAAAACAATTTATGAGTATCAACATAAAGGATCAGCAATCAACAAACTATTTTTTTATAATTAAAAGTGAAACTGGAACAAACCATGAAGTGGAGATATCCAGTAGTGGCTAGTATACCTGTTGAATACAAAGCACGTGGTGTTCGTGTGTATTAAGGTATATTTATTTATTTAGCGTATGGACTTTCACAGTACGATAAATATACAAATACAATTACAATAATATACACATATATATTATATATATTATTCAAACACTAAAAATAGTAAAAATAGAATGAATAGAATGAATGACACTAAATATTAATGTCCAATTTACATAGCCATTCAATTGCTTCTGGGGAACATTCCGCAAAGTCCTGGAGGTTTCCACGGTAGGCACGATTCAAGCAGTCTGAAACACAATCGCTTATGGTCTGTCTAGATTCTCCGCAATCGCACTGTGGACTTTCTGCACGACCCCACCTGAACAGCGAATCAGCACATTTACCATGTCCGGTACGTATACGATTAGGCCTTCCCAAATGGACCGGGGCAGATTTGATCCGATGAAACCCTGAGTTGGGGTGGATATCTTAATATAGTCCGATTCTACTGTTGGCATCCATCTTGTTGTCCATTGCCTATGTATATCATAGGAATTACCAATTTTTCGAGCAGATCGTATTGGAGGATTTCTAGATCTCAATCGTTGGTGCTCTTTTGAGATGTCTGGGATATCTTGATGTATTGGTAATTGTACGTTGGCTATAATTTTCTGGTACTCTCTCACTAATGCTGCTGTACGGCGTAGATCTGGTGGAGCAATATTGCTCAGAGTAGGCAGCCATCTCACTGGCGTTGATTTTATTGTTCCAGTGATTATTTTCATGGTTTGGTTAAGTTGGACATCGATTTTGCTTGTATGTGCACTATTTAACCATACTGGTGCACAATATTCTGCCACTGAAAAAACCAAAGCTAGAGCTGAGGTCCGAAGAGTTTCTGCAGAAGCACCCCAAGTTGTTCCAGCAAGTTTTGATATTAAGTTATTTCGTGTTCTTAGTTTACCGGCTGCGTTTGTAAGATGACTTTTGAAGGTGAGTGTTCTATCAAGTGTGACGCCTAGATATTTGGGGTTGTTGTTATGTTTGATAGCTGTGTTATTTAGAGTTACATTGAGAGTATCGCCCGCAAGTTGATTCGACAGGTGAAAGAGACAGGTTTCAGTTTTGCTTGTGTTAGGACGTAAGCGCTAGTTCTTAAAATAGTTACTTAGTGTAGATAAGTCCTCGTTTAGAACTCGTTCTCCTGCTTCTTTACTATTATCTTAGAAGCCAATGGCCAAGTCGTTAGCATAAGCAAATTTTCTCGATTTTGTTTCAGGTATATCTGCTGTATAAAGGTTAAATAATAGAGGAGCTAGCACTGAGCCTTGAGGTAAGCCGTTGTTAAGTTTTCTAACGTTACTCTGTGCATCATTCATATATACCTGAAACAGTCTGTTAGTCAGTAGATTGTTTATCAGCTGACAAGTTTTGAGGCAAGGTATGATTTTCATCAGCTTATAAATAAGGCCCTCTCTCCACACCGTGTCATAGTCAGCCGTGAGATCTATAAATGTTATGGCAGATTTTTCGCGTCTTTCAAAGCCAGCTTCAATAAATGTAGTTAAGGACAGCACTTGGTCGCAGCAACTTCGTCCTCTTCTAAATCCAGCTTGTTCAATTATTAAGGTATAAAAAAATGCTTATTAAAAGCTTAAAATTTTTATTTTAAAGAAGATCTTTTCGGAATTGAATCATTCCATCATCAGTTTACTAAACGAGAGAGTAAAAATACCAATATTAAAAAACAAGTAAGTTAAAATTTAAATATATAAAAAGAACACGTTGGTTTTTTACTACTTACATAAAAAGTTATCAAAAAACATTGTATGGCCACATAAAAACATTGGAAGGACATCCGTATTAAAAAACAATCCTCATGGTATTTACAAAGGTAAATGCAATAGACTTTTGATTAATAAAAACTGAAAATGGGGGCAGCTACATGTGGTCATGTAAGATGCCCCCATTTTCAGTTTTTATTAATCAAAAGTCTATTGCATTTACCTTCATAAATACAATGAGGATTGTTTTTTAATACGGATGTCCTTCCAATGTTTTTATGTGGCCATACAATGTTTTTTGACAACTTTTTATGTAAGTAGTAAACCAACGTGTTCTTTTTATATATTTAAATTTTAACTTACTTGTTTTTTAATATTGGTATTTTTACTCTCTCTTTTAGTAAACTGATGATGGAATGATTCAATTTCGAAAAGATCTTCTTTAAAATAAAAATTTTAAGCTTTTAATAAGTATTTTTTTATACCTTAATACACACGAACACCACGTGCTTTGGGACCGTGCAAGTTTCAGAACAGTGACACCTGGTGTCGTAAATCAGCAAAATTTACTGCGCTTTCATGTTAGATCGAGGTTACCGGATAACTGTCAAGGACGTAGCCCCAAAAAAGAATAAGAAGAAAAAGTAAGATTGAGGTTATGTCGGTATGTTATTAAAAGGTAAACGTTGTATGTAGTGTAAATACAAATAAATATATTATTAAATTACAGCATTACTGTTAATATGGATGCAAAAATAAAAACTGGATTTGAGAAAGTAAATCACCAAATAACTTTTCAACCAAGCACTGAGTCAAATGGAAAAGTTTTAGTAGTGGCAAATGTCAAAAAAGAATGGAAGAATTATGTGGAAGATTTAAGAAAAATAAATTACCATAAATAATGCTAATGCATGAATGCATAAATTAGCAGGTTAAGCCCATGATATCATCATATTGGCTTGAACAATTAATTCTTTCCCTGTAAACTTTTGGACAGCGAATATATCTTAATGCATCTTCAGAAAAACTTGAACTTGATGCATTTTTGTAAACTTTAAAAAAATAAAATTTAAACATTAAACTTGATTTTTGGGTTAAAATGAACTCTAAGTGAATGTTATGAAACTAAAATTTACACTTAAAAGTGAATTTTTATTTATTATTTATTTCAAACTGACTTTAAAATCGGGCGCAAGAATAATGCATAATTTAGGTTATGTTACTTATGCTTTTTTATGATATAAATCCACTTTTCTCTTTGTAGTAATTTGTGCTTCGAAGTTGGAAACGAACAAAACTTAAATTGACAATTTTTTGTTGTATTTTTACAATTTATAACACAGCATTTCCTAAATCCCATTTTCTTCAGTGACAGAAGGTTAAATAAACAAACGAATATGAAATATGACAATTGACAATATGAATTTATGAAATCTATGAAATTTTCAGTAAAAAACGCAAGATTTCTCCGCTACTCGCGCACAATCGTTTCTCGTATCACATCCAAGTACTTGCACGTCGCCAATACTCATGATTCTTTCATCCAAACATTAATTGAATCGGTCATTTTAAAACCACATATATCCACATTTTATCAAAAATAATTTTTCAACCTTATCATGTAGTTTGTACCAGCCTCTATCATTTCGTGAACAAATCACACTAATCCGATCCTTAGTTAGTGATATAAGCATTTCAAAAATATTCAGTTCATTTGAAAACCACATATATCCAGGATATAAATGTTTTTTAAATGACCCGTTAGGAAGCGCGCCCATTTTAATGTTGACTTTACTATTTAAAAGCAACAATAATTCTGTGAAAATGGATACCGACGTATGTGAATCAAAAGAAAGACGTAAAAAGGGTGTAAAAAATGTTACCTTCAAGTGTGAAATAGTTAAAAAAGTTCGGGTGCAAGGTATAGAGTATATAAATTATAAAGGAAATAGGGTTTCCCAATATTGAACAAGGCAAAAATTGCAAGTAAGTATTTCTCATTTCATAACCTCAAATAGTTGATTATAAAATGTTACTTTTAGATGCAGGAAGAAGTGTATTGCTCAACTCTCAGATGAAATAAAATTAGAAGTGTATGCAAAATAAAGAAGATCAACTAAAAGAATGGGAAAACTATATTAAAATTCTTTTTCACGACACACGAGAAGAACCAAGATTGGAAAATAACAACGAAGGGCCAATAATTCAGAAATCTGAAATCATAAATGCAATTAATCATCTCAAAATAAATAAAAGCCCAGGTCCAGACGGAATATACCCAGGAACGTTAAAATTAATCAGCGAAGAAAATATCGAAATATTTCTCCTTTTATTCAATCGCATTTATGATACAGGTAAAATACCCCAAGATTGCTGGAGTCAATATTCATCCCACTACCAAAAAAGCCAAACCCACAACACTGCAATGAGTTTCGTCTGATAAGCCTTATGAGTCATGCAGTAAAAGTCCTACTAAACATCGTACATAATCGGAGATATATCTATAGAAAGTGCGAAACAATCATCGGAGACGATCTGTTCAGTTTACTAGTTCTCACCAAAAAATGCTACGACCAACAGAAAGATATATTTATATGCTTTATAGACTTCGAAAAAGCATTTGATAGAGTAAGACACGACCTACTATTAGAACGTTTGCAAGAAGTCGGTTTTCTCATCAAATTCTTAAAAAACTTGTACTGGAACCAAAACGCCAGAGTTAGGATCGAAGGTTCCACATCCGCAGAAGTAGAAATTAGGAGGGGAGTTAGACAAGGATGTGTTCTGTCGCCTCTGCTGTTTAATCTTACTCCGAGTTTCTATTTAAAGAAGCATTGGAGGATTCCAAGGATGGAGTCAATGTGAATGGCGTAAATATCAACAGTATCAGATACGCCGATGATACAGTGTTAATTGCGGATTCCGACTTAGGTCTACAACGACTCATCGACAAGACCAACTCGACCTGTGAGCAATTTGGTATGAAAATAAACATTAAAAAAATCAAAGTGATGTCAATCCGAAAAAACCAAAACGTACCTCAACCTTGCACAATAAATGGGCACATTTTAGAACAGGTCAA